TGATTAGAGAAATAGAAAGTTAAAACAAAAGATATTTATGTATTCAAACTGATAGTTTATGTGTTTTTTTTTTGTGTTTTGGATTTCGCGCAAAGCTATACAAGGGCTATCTGCTCTGGCTTTCCGTAATTTAGACTTGAGGGAAGTCAACACCACCCATTGCCAACTATTGGGTTTCTCAAACAGAATAGCGAGATTTGACCGTTGTCGTTATAACGCATCCATGACCCCAAAGTACGGAACGCGTTTTTGGGGACGGTAAACAGACGGGATACACGGAAACACTGTCCGCACGCTAACCACTGTGCCGCGCTCGGTCCAATAATATTTTAAGTTGAAAACAATATCAGAAAAGCTTACTTATTAGATAAAGTAAGGTGTATCCTATTTTAATTCATGTTCTGTGTTTGTGTGTTTGCTAGTTTGTTCGCGAAATCCTCTCTCGGTTGTGGAGTTAGCAGGACCAAACTTGGCAGGCAGACTCATAGTGGCCCTGGAGGTGGACATATCTATATTGCTTAGTCCCCCTACTAATGGGGACCAAAACACCACAGAAAGGTCACTCAGGCATGATGGTGGATTTAGGAGTAGGTTATCAGGGTCGCCGAATCTGTCATCGGGGTTTATGTTCCTGGCCCTCCTTCGGAATTCCGGGGGCGCCATGTTTCAAACAGTTAGAAAAAAACCCGGGCGGATGTCCTAACGGAGTTTATTTTCGGATACAGATCCCCACCCCTTAGGGAGGATCTTGATCGATACAATGGGCCTCTGTGACTCGTGAGAGGGACTATGAGCCCTGCAACGGAGCTTGGGTGTTAGTTTTTAAGCGCTGAGCTGCACAATGAGCTATTTGCGCTCTGTCCGCGGGTGATCGTACCCCAGATTTTATATTTGTAAGTCCTTCATCGGCCCAGATCGCGGACATTTGATGCTAGTATTGCATAAAACTTATTACTTAGAAATATATATTTGAAGATATAAAAATATCGACCACTCAATAATATTCCTGAACCAATCAACATTACATTTGGGGGATTTTGAGCTCGCGGATTCTTATCCCTTTACATCACAATAAATGACTTATTTGCAGATTAAGGTTTAAAAAGATTAGTTAAATAAATGCAAATGTGAAACAGTTTTAGTAAATATGTTTTATTAAATGTTTTCCCTTTGAGATATTTATATGTATTTAAAGTATAACTGTTTCTAATATAAACATATTATGGGCATATCATAACTAACATTTGTATAAATAAAACGCAAGGATTAAAGTATATAATTCATGTAGTTAACACATGTAATGTGTAAACATTATTGTTACTTAGCTCCAAAAATTTTCAATGGTTTTGTCAATAGATTTAAGAAATTGCTGTTATCGCATTTTTTAGCACAAAACTAAATGATGGGCTAATTTGTGCTCTGTCTACTGTTTGGAACTCGAACCCAACATTTTAGCGTTGAAAGTCCAGAAACTTACCACTAACTCTCCAAACTATCAATAAGAGAATGTTTCTAAAACTAGTAGGATATAGTAAAGTTATTTGCCGTTGTGAAGTAGTTAATTATATGTTATATAAATTCAAACTAAATTAAAAATATTTATTAGTTATTTCCACTTGTTTTAGCGATAATCTATACAATAGGCCATCTGCGCTCTGTTTATCACGAGGAATCAAACTCTGGGATATACATGTACTTTTGTAAGCCCGTAAACATACAGCTGACCCACTGGGGGACAATTTGCCACTTCGTTAATTGTTATATTTTACCACTCTTGGGTTTAATTAATTAATTTTTATAAAATAAACTATTCTATTCTCGTTGTCATTTGATATTTGAGATATCGTTTAACATATTTGATATTTCAACGACTCGGATCTATACTACGGTTAAATTGCCGGTTCTCAACCTGTGATTCGCGGGCTTCCTTCAGGCGCTTCGCAGAAAGATTGCATAATTACTAAAAGGAAGAGGGAAGAGTATAATAGACCCTATTGTGGTGTGCGAGATAAAAAAAAATCAGGTGGCTCACGAACAAAACGGTTTTAGAACTGCTGGGTTAGATAAAAAAAATCCTTTCTGTGTATTGGAATGTACAGAAGTATGTATTCTTACAGCAGTGTAAATCAAATAAATATGTGTAGGTTTTCAGTAGGATTGTGCAACAGTCGAAGCCTAGTCATTTTGTAATGCTAAAATTGTTGATGAACTGGGTCATTGGCGTCGAGTTTTCTTTACCCTGGTGGAGATAACTAAAAAGTTAATTAGGCCTACATATCACGTACTTTTCTCGACGCCTACGAGATAAGTAATTATCACTTCCCAAGGCACATTGATAAGTCGATACAAATTAAGTCCAAAGAAAGTGACCATCATGATGCGCCTGGCACCTTTTTTTAATATTTCACATGAAACAATTACGCTCGGTCATGATTTTTGACAGATCAGTGAAACAAGTGCCCTGTATGTAGAGCCGGGTTCGGTTAAAAGGGGTAGTTTAACTGGATCGAACTCAGCTGCAAGTGTGTGTTTAACGAAATAGGAGTAATGTAGGAATATATTGTGTCTAAAACTGAATAAATCTCGAACAGGCGTAACATTGTTGATGATTTTCATAGACTGAGTTAGTAATTTTCAACATTAGTGGTGAATCTGCCATGCTTTGAAAAAATAACCATTCTTTGGTCATTCATGATTATTCACTGACAGTGCTGGTAGCTATGCGAAGAATTTCTCAGACCTGCACTAAATATGGGTTCCCTTTTGCGTTGAGTTTATTCATTAAGATTCGCTCGTTTAAAAACAAAGCCTTGTCACAATTTCCTTGAGCTAACATCTGCTTAACGTAAGGAAAGCAGGTTAAGTACGGGGAGCACAATTATAATATTATAATAAATAGGTCCTTTCTACTTGTTTCGTACCTCCTTCGACATGCGGCACGTGGCTGCTGTCGCCCCATGCTTTTCACGCTGAGATGATCGCGTGCTTCTTTTGTGAGCGGCACATGAGCCACGCGCCGGGCACGCAGCAGATGTTAAAGCAGATCGATAGACAGTTTTAGCAGCTGACGTTCTTTATATTGCTCGTGAGAGATTGGTCGCGAAAGGCGCGCTATTCATAAGAGCCAAATCTCTCGCTTAGACCCCAGTTTTGGCCAAGCGCACTGCTTGTCTGCATGATTGTTGGTCGCGTTGATCTCGGACAACCTGTAAAGGATGGGTCAAAGCAGTAGTTGTATGGATGGAGAAATCGTAAGTTGGGAATCTAATTTTCGGTCAGTTTGTAAAAAATGAAATATTTCAATACTAAAACGTAATTGTGTGAAAATTATTGAAATATCTAATAAGAAATCATATATTTTGCGTCATCACTTGGTATTGTTTAAAGTTGCCACCAGTTTCTCGTTTCTTCGGTCAGCAGTCATTGCCAGTAATAAAATGTATGTTTGAATAATATGACTCATAAAAATAAACATACTTTGAATATTTTGAACCGAATGATTGAGTACTTATGCGAGACAAACTGGTTCGTTTCTGATGGAAAAAGATGAAGGTTTGCGTCCATAGAAAAGACAGCAAACTTAACGGGGTAGGCCGCACTTTTGTGATGGCCAATTTAAATGAACACAACGGAATAGTTCTGTGTTAAGCCTTCGTCGAGTTTTCTTTTAGTACAAAAGGCCTAGCAAGTGCTGTTATTAGTTGTTATGAAATTTACTCATATTACTAGATACAACTTAACATTTACTAGCTGTATTATACCTTTTTTTGTAAAATCGCTTTGTGTTATAGTTTTTAAAGTAAATGCAATTATTAATCCAATATACGAAAATTAAATTTCATAAAAATATTTTTACCGCACAAAATATCTTCGGTCTCTGTTATTCTTGTTTTTGTTTAGTAAGTTAAAGAAAATGAAATACAGTGTTTGAGGGTTACAAGTGAACATATTTTCCAACTTTAGTCTAACAATATAGATCCAGTTAAATGAAATACAGTGTTTGAGGGTTACTAGTGAACATATTTTTCAACTTTAGTTTAACAATATAGATCCAGTTAAATGAAATACAGTGTTTGAGGGTTACTAGTGAACATATTTTCCAACTTTAGTTTAACTGTATAGATCCAGTTAAATGAAATACAGTGTTTGAGGGTTACTAGTGAACATATTTTCCAACTTTAGTTTAACTGTATAGAGCCAGTTATATTTTAGTCAGTGATTTATATATTTTTTTATGTTAGCCAAATCTATCGCTTAGACCACACTTGGAATTTTTCTAACTTATGTTTTAAAAGACTTTTCCAGTTTTATGTAATGACTCCAGTTTAAACCAACATTGTTGTTATAAAAATTTTATGATGGATTCAGATTCTTTCAAATTAAAACATTTAACTGTTTTAAAATTGTTAGACGGTGTATGTAGGATTGAAGAGGAGGATTTTTCTTTATCAACTGAAATGTTCTTGGTCAATATAAAAGTTGTACTCCAAATGACCGTTAAGAGCGCGTCGTTTTTCTCTTTCAATAACACCCATTATAATCTAATGACAGCTGTGGAAAAACGTGGTGTTTGCAGCTGCGCAGTAGCTACAGCGACATGAATGGCAAACTCACTAATGCTAATAGAGAATTCTTTCAGAATTACATAACGACTTGTTATAAAATTCTACGTGGTTTTAATACAGGAAATCCCTCTTTAAAAGAAGAATGTACGTACATAATCCCTTACGTCGTTGCTCAAAACTTACGGAAGTAAAAATAGTTAAAACAAATTGAGTTGTGCTTTATTATTATAATTTATTACTTTGTTGTTTTTATTCCAAACTATTACATTTGGTCTTTCTCTCCTATTTTCTTTCTTAAATGTATTCATATATTGAAGTGTAGTAGATGTTTGTACTTAAGAAATAGTTTATTATTGGTTTGAGAAACAAGTGTGTTTTTCAGTTTGATGAGAGCTTTGTTCTCGAATCGTGTGAAGCGATAGTATTCTCACAGACAGAATGACCTGGGAAAGCTCGGATCTGGACATTCCCCTCTATATACATATAACTTGTAAGGGGAAAAAAAAGCGTTAAAGAATTATACTCGGCATGGGCAGGGCTTTTCTAAGATACGCGAAAAAGAAACGGAAGTTGGTTCTCAACGGTCTTCTTCCCCGTAGTTTGGAGGGAATGCCAAACAATAACTGTTTAACGTATGTGATGCCGTGTTAGGAGTGAAAGGAAGAACCACACCTCGAACTGGGTTAAGCAGGGGCAGTATGATTGCTAGGGGTAGCCAATATTTCTAGGATACATTTGGTGATTTATAAATTTGATTAATGTAGCATAGCTTGGGTTTTCTAAGCATATTTCTTTTTACATAATATGCTTTGTTGTACAGTTTTACACAACATTCAGAGCTTGTTTCTTTTCGTTTCGTCCCATAAGACGGTAGGACAAAAATCATATATTTATAACTATCTGTATTCTTCAACATTCAGTATTTTACGAAGAATTTTTAGAGATATAATTTATTCTCGACTTCCGTTTTATTTTTTAGTGATTTGACTTATGATAATATTAGTTTCAACGCTTGTCACAGCTCGAGATCATTTGTCTGATACGTTGGTGACTAAGATTTAATATGAACAATGTGTTTTAGATTAGAGTCTTAATTTTCCTTCCGTTTTTTTAGGAAGCGTGGCTCGGAAGGCAGCAACATGGTGCTCGCTTGTTGGCTTTGCCTCTAAACAACGGAACGATCGAAGAACGCAGTAAGAAACAAAAACTCGGGCCACTTCGCAGAAAGCTAAATCGTCGATTTGGCTTTGAAACAGACAACATTCCTTATGACTGCATAAGAAAGCCAGTTGTTGGGCCAGATCATACACCGTTTTACTATCAGGTAACACCGTCTGCCCAATCGCGTGATTCTTTCACAGAGGACACTCCTGCTCATGATTCTGTGAGCCGTCGGATTTACAGAAGTGAGTCCTTCTTACGGTCCTTGGACAAAGCGTGCGGCCCGCTATACAAGGATATCAACTATGCTGTCGTGAATATGTCTCAGTTGTCATGTGATCCTAAGGAACTTGACGACATGCTTCTAAAAACGCCCGTAAAAAGTGATATTCCTTTTCGTCGGATGCCAAGCCGAATGTATTATGATTCCATCGGCACATTCCCCAGGCAAGGACAAAATGATCATCAGTATAAGGGCCTAGGCCTTATAAATTCACCCACGACCAGCAGTGACCAGTCTGTGAATCATCTAGTTAAAGTCAGCCATCATGGTGAAACAAGTATACCTCAAAACAACGGTATCACAAGTGGGCAATGCGCCCCACTGCCAGGGACTCCAGCTAGATCTCAACAGAACCTTACCTTACCCAATGCGGGGCATCGGACAGTTATATGTACTGACTGTGGAGAGTGTCTCCCTGAAAGAACATTGTCAAAATATACATTTCCTCGCCGAACATCACCCCCACAGAAACAGCTCCATTTAGGCCCAATCGCTAGTACTCAGGAAACCAAATCTTTAGGAATTCAGCAAACCAGACTCTCCACCCCACGGCACATTACCCATGATTTTCCAGATAAACTTCCAAATACAAGCACGCCTAAGAAAAGTGCCTTGGTAAGAAGTAACAGTCGAACCTGCACAGGAGGAAGTCCTTCTAAAGCTGTTCACTTCTCCCCCTCTAGTGAAGCCTTTGCAATAAATGAAGACACTCCCTTAAGGAAGAGTCACGATATTACCAACAGACATAGTGCACTGGCTAGAAACCTCTTTCCAGATATGATAAAAATCCCTCCACCACCGGCATCACATCTTGGACTCCCTTCTGTTGATGTCGAATCACTTCGTAGCCATTATAGTACAAATGGACAAACTTCTATATGCTCCAAGTTCAATTCAGACAAGCCTGTGCACAACGAAGAGTCCTCTCAGCTTTCAAATAGCAAAAATTATTGTGAAATCCAAATAAAAAATAACGACAACTCGGACACCCACGTTCCTAATAATCTGAACAAAAGTACCAGTAACGACGTGTCTTGTAGCTACAGTGAAGAACTTATTAACGCATTTTCTCAAAAAGATCTAAATCTGGTTGGTCCACGAAGCAGAAGTGGATTTGTCGAGAGAACTCAGCAGCCAGCGAACTGTGAAATTTCAAGCATGAAGACCACTAGGGAAGGAACTTCCGATGGAAGAACGACTGAAAATCTTGAAAAATCTGCGAAGGAAATAAATAATAATCTACTCGTACTGGAAGTTGAATCCGCAATTGAAGAAAAACATAAAGCGACATATAACGACCATATTCAACTTGCAAATAACTTTCAAGTTCGTAAAGATTCTGATGAAGAGGAACCGTGGGTATTTCGAGATCCAGGAATTCTTCCAGAGAACAGTTTACTGCGGCATCACCTTTCTTCTTGTATAGAAAGGTAATTTGACTTAGATGATTAAACCACATTCATAAATGAATAACATATAATAGTTGTGGTGGCTTAAATATTAGAACATAAAATATTTTTTCATTGAATTATGGATTATGAAAAGCTGCCCTGTGCTTAATTTTGATATTGTTTGTTTTTATTCCGTGTCTTCTCTTAAATAATATCGAAAAAAGAATGATATCTGTAGCAGCAATAAAGTGTGTTGACCATTTCCAATTCAGTGAATAGGAAAGGTATGTTATGACGAATTAAGTCTATATTTTAAGATGCAAGTTGTATTGTATTAATACATATTTCGTGGTTAATATATTTTCTCGCAGTTTAGAGCTCACTGATATCACTAGTGTACAGCGATGGTTGCAGGACATCCGAGTGCTAACGGAAACTGAGTGTTTGAGTACTCTTCAAAGTAAATGTCTAACAAGCGATCCTGAACTGTTGGCAGCGTTAGCTGTTTGTAACGCTCTAGGTAAGTTGCTATGCATCGTAGATTTGACATTTAAACATCTGATTAAAAATTACAGTATAATTTACTTCACATTGGTAAGAAACATAATATACGTCTTTTATTTTTGAAGTGAAAGCATAAGACATGATTTGAATGTCCATATAATTTGAGATTATTATTAATTGTAAAATTGGGTAAACCAACAGATACTATCGCGACTCTGAAAGACAGAAGTGCCATAATAACGGGAGACTTCGCATACATTCTGAAAAAAGCTGACAGGAACCAGTGGGAGAAGTTCAGTCCCAGCGCATGTCAGTTGAGTGCTGACCTTCGTGATTTACATCATGACTATAACATCTCTCTGCCAAATATGGAACCAGATCTCCTTAAGGTTAGCCTATCTAGATGTTTTCCATCCTTGCTTTCGATAACTGACTCGTTCAGAAATCAGGCTTAAGTGCCCATAATTTTTATATTTTTAAAAGAAATGGACAGTGGTCTTTGCTATCTTTTTTCTTTTAAATATCCCTGCAGAAATATTCGTTTCTTATTTCGAAAGCTGTTTAATCATAGTTATCTGAAAACCGAGATATAGTTATTCAGGGGAGATTAATGTGCTCTATCTTCTGGAGTGACTGTCCAGATGGCGCTGGATCTCTTGTATATGTTTACCTATTGTTCATCAAATGACAATCTAAAATATGTACCCTAATATTTAGTTACAACTATACTAGTTTTCATTACTTATATTTTTATTCTGATTATAAATGGCCCAAAAAGTTTATGCAACATTAATTTTATGCTAGTTAATCTATTGGGTTTATGGATGGAAATATCGCTAAGACGAGATTATCAATTGATGAGGCAATGCATTCTAATTATAAGAGTTTTTGTTTTGTGATTTCTGTATACACCTAAGTAAAACAGTATATTAACTTAACTATATTACTTACTACGTTAGTTTTTAATGCTGGTCTTTGCAGGTAGCCTGTTCTGATCTGAAATTTATGATAATGTCTTACTTTTATTATATTTGGGTTCCCGGAAAGCTATGGTTTGAGATTAAAAAACGGGAGTATACTTAACTGTCCTTTATAATTATAATCTTAGATTTTATTCGTATTTAATATATATTTAGTAAATATGAGGATTTTGTATAATAAAAGGGAATATTGTATTGCTATTCTAAATAATGTGAACATTTTGAAATGACTTGGATAAAAAATAAACATAATATTGTTACTAAATATATTACCTCTAATGGCTAAGCGACAAGCTTGAGGGCTTATGACTCTTGTTTTGATACCCGTGATAGGTAGCAAACAGGTATTCCATTGTGCAGCTTTGCACTTAGCAACAACCAAAGAAGCAAAACTAAATATATTCATACGTAAAGAAATATAAACAATATATATATATATTAACATACATGTTTTGCACCTTTAGGCTTGTAATCAACTACAAGAGGCTTGTAATCAACTTGAGAGTCACAGCAACAGGTAAGGATAGAATGTTGTATCTGTTTCTGAAGGAAAGTAAAATCACTGTTATGAACGCCCGTTTTGTGTCATTTGATGGGGACAGTTTTCAGTGTTTCTTAAACTTTTTAAACTCGGGACCCATTTGTTAACACTAATGGTCAGTCGCACCCTGTAAATAGAACTAGTTCAAAAACATTTGGCTAAACTAAAACACATAATAAATATATATATATACTATTAACTATTTTCAAAGTCTGTTCGCGATCCTTTCACACATTCTGACTACTCGTGGATTGAGAAACTCTGAACTGTATACTATCATGAGTTGTTAAACAAACAGTACTCGCTATTTTGAGTTTACCTTTCATATGATAATTATCTAAAGTTTGAACTTTGGCCATTGAATGTGAAGTTGGAAATATTACTTTTCGTTTTCGGTAAATGTTTAGTAAGAACTTTGGAATGTGTATTCCACCAAATTTCTATGTTTTAATGTTAAACTCTAATCTTCTATGTAGTGACTTCGAAAAAGACGAGAAAGACCTTAAAAAAGAAATCTTTGGATGTCTGAAAAATATTGGAGAATGTTTCCAACGACTGACAGACAGACTTTACTTGCAACAGTTAGTGGTAAGGATCTTTGATTAAGTGTTGTATGTTATGTTTCATGTAAATATAAAAATAAAGACATTTTATTTAATCACCCACTCAGTTTTTGAACATACCATTAGATTTGTTTTAACATATATACGTACACACAAATAACGTAAATAATACAGTTAAAGGTGTGTATGTATATGTTATATGTTTACGTAAAAAATTATAGGTGTTTTATATATTATATGCAATTTCATATATTTTAACGAACTTTCATTCAATGATAGCAAACCTTCATAACAAGAAGATATGGTTTTGAGTTGTACAACTTCATCTAAGTTTGGTTATACTACATGAAACATATTTTGGATCAGACTAGGACCTTTAAATAAAGAGTGCTGAAATTTCAGTAAAATGTGTTTAAAAGTAGTTAGAACTACAGACAACAATTTACAAAAAACTTTATTTACTCTCGCGTATAGACATAATAATAAGTTTTATGTATATGCGACATTTCAGTTGTATTGCTGCTAAGCCTGATGGAGGACAACAGAATAAAACATTTTCACACGTGGCTATTTGAGTTCATATAATTGTAGTTATACAGTGGAATATTTTTCCACGTCCTACAAACTGTCCATGTTTTAGAGTTTGTGCTTATGATTTTCTGATAATATTACAACACATGGTAGGTTTAGGAATAGCGTATATATATATATATCTGTGTGTGTAAGTATATATATGTATGTTTTTAGAAACACTACTGAAACTCGTGGATCAAAATAAGTTTCAACCAAATAGAGCTGAAATAATGTCATTAATCAACGAAAGTTTTCTAGAAAGAACAGGATAAATCGGGATAATTTTTGTTGTAGGTGATTGTAGAGGGTGTTGAAGAAAGCAAGAACAGTTTTTGTGTGAAGAGATCAATAGCAGCTATCAACAGTTTAGGTCAAACTGGAGAACATATGTGTGAGCTAATCGCCAAGGTGGGTATCTTTTGATGGTGACTATTAGGCAATTTTCAAATTGATGTTATTTTTCTGTATTCTCTTTACTAACAAATCAAATTATTATTGTTTAATAACGCTTAAAATTTAGTTAGAGCGATACAAAATTATTAGTGAGTTTCTTTAGTAGAAGTCTAATGAACCAATGTGCTTCATGTTGAGTTTTATATCTTAATTGCTAGCTGAAACATAAACATAATCTTGAATTTTTATTCGGTGTTCCTGTTCAATCTCTAGGCTGGTGGTATTCGAGCTTTATTAGCGCTTTGTGTGGAACGAAAGTGGAGACATCTACAGGCAACAATTCTTCGTGCCCTGACTATAGTATGTTCTGTTCCTTCTGCTGTCCAACAATTAGAAGAGGTACTATGCGCAATGGTGATCTAATTATAGATCAAAAGTATACATAATTCTCGCATAATCTAATAATTAGAAGTAATTATTATCCGTTAGAACAAATAATTCTATTTGAAATATTTGGTGGGATTTTGGTTGTATTAAAAGATTATCTTGGCAGCGTTTGGTGGAGAATGATCCCTGTATGACTGGTTTTTGAACATTTTTATTATCTTAATATATCATCATATTGTAGCTACCTTTAGTCCCTCCCCCAGTGGCATACAACTCTAGAAGCCGGGTTCATATATATCCGTTGTGGGCAGAGGACAGAAAGGCCATTATGTAGCTTTGTGCTTAACTACAAAGAAACAAGCTACTTTTATTTGTTATTTGTGTAAAAATGATTATAACTGCAGCACTGATAAGGTCTTCGTATTAATGAACGATTTTACTAGCAGTGTTTGGTAACAATTCATTGAAAGACCATGGAAAGAATTTGATACGGTCATGTTAATAATTTGACTATTGTAACAATTTCGAAAGTCAATGAATATAATTCAATAGAACCAATTTTATCGCTGATGTTTGGGAACTGGAGATATAAATCAGTTTATACATATGTCAACTATTCATATTACATTAACTTCACTGAAAAGATGATGAACATCTCCAATAACTGGAATACTTAGGATGTATAATCTTTCTAATAATATTTACAAATTCTCAAAATCTAAATAATTTCTCTCAATTTAGGCTAGCGGGATGGATATCATTACTGACATCCTCTGCGAAGATTCTTCAAGTATTCAACTTCGAAGCGAAGCAGCAGGACTGGTTGCTCAGATTACCGCCCCCTGGATGGACAGCAGTGGCGCTACTTTACGTGGACTAGCTGAAAATACAGAGAAACTTGTGCATTCTTTAACAGGTTTGTTATAAAATAAGTTTTTACGCATCTTCTTACAAAGTACATACTTAAGGTAATCACTATTTTTTATAACACGAAGTTTAATAAATAAGTAGTTAGGATTTTAAATATTTGTTTTTGGAAATTGATGAAAACTTTATTTTTCACAGATTTAGCCTCCTCTGCAAAGACTAGCGAAGTATTTCTGCTAGCTACTGCAGCACTTGCAAACTTGTCTTTTCTTGACACGTCGACATGCGATTGGTTAAGAAAGTATCATTCAGCGCGAGTCCTTGTTTCAGCTTGTCGTCATGGCGACGTGTGTGATTCAGTCTTCGTTAAAGATCAAGTAAGAAACAACGACTACTAGAAGGATTATTAGTCCTAGTACTTTTCAAAATCTCTACAACAAATGTGTAACTGACGATGTTATGAAATATTTCGTCATGTTAATGCTAGCTAAATAGGATTAGAGAGAATTTAGTTGAAATTTGTTGCACTCGTTAGAAAGATTAAACAATTTTAAAGAAAGAATGAAATACTTACATATAAAATAGCACTTCAAAAGTAGAATAATCATTATAACTCTTTCATGATTAAGAAATATAATAGTGGCTAAAAAAATATACACATTTATCTAGCAAACAAGATATATTAAGACTTTAGGATACATTAATCAAGCTTCTTCAATTTTTTTCTCTTAGCTAAATCGTAAGTTAAAATAGTAGGAAAGACGGATAGAAAAGTTTTTTCTTTATTATTTGTTAAAACAAGTTGTTCTGTTAATTCTTCAGGTTGCAACAGTGATGGCTAATATGGCGGCATCTAGTAACAGTCGTGAAGAAGTAGTCAACAGTGGTGCTGTTGTATTACTTCTTTGTTTCCTCCAAGCTCGATCATCCAAATTTCACAGCCAGGCTGAGATAGCAGCTTGTGAACGGGTACAGCAGAAATCTGCTATAGCTCTTTCTCGCCTATGTACAGACAATGAAACTTCTGCTAAAGTTATCCAGATGCAAGGTTAGTCGTTTATTTAAAGTTAAAGTTTCTATTTGTTTTTAATATTTTCATATTTATAATCGTAGTCATTTAAAGATATTTCTAATAAATGTGTTTGTGAAACGAATCTATATAAATATAATAGTACTGTTGTTGTTTATTGTATGTCCATGTAACATTTCACATGGTGTGGATGGATCTTTACCAAAATTAGCTCCATGCGGAGGTACATACAAATTTTCAATTTTGTGTTTTGTGGTTTTTATGGGCGCTTTTGCATTTAGATCTTCACCAAATTTGGCATGAAGGTTTGTTGTGTCCATGCAAAGTTGCGGTTTCACATTTTCTATCTTGCAATTTTTATAGGGCATTTTCTGGCGTGTTTTTTTTTTTTCAATTACATGTAAGGGA